AATAGCATTTCGATATTTTCAGAAAGCTCACCAGTGGTCTGAGGATGGCTTGGTGCATTATCCAAGATGGAGAAAATCTTGAAATCCAATTTTTTTTTCCTGCAGTACTTCCTAAAAACATCATCCAAAACATCAACAATAAGGTCAGAAAAAAATTGTCCTGACATCCAACCTCTTCTGCTTGATCTAAAGTAAATGCCCAGAGTAGACTTAAGGTAACCTTTTAAGGCTCGCGGGTTGGCAGAGTGGCACACTACCACAGGCTAAAGGTTTAACTCTCCACTGGCATTGGCACCCAGCAGCACAGTCATACGATCCTTCGCCACCTTAAAGCGTGGAGCGTCTGCTTCATTCCTAGAAATGTGCGTTCTTGATGGTATTCGCTTCCAATATAAACTTGTCTCACCCAAATTGGAAATTTCATCAAGTTGTACCCTTCTTTGTCAATTAATTTGTTTTTAAAACTGTGAGAGAAGATGCCATCACATGTTCCTTGTTTGCACTGGCAGCTTTGCCCCATAACTCTACCTTACGAAAGTGATAGCTGTTCTTAAAACCAGCAAACCAGCCACTGCCAACACTAAAGGCAGGCACATCAGGATTTTCGGCCTGCTTTGTTAGATCTTCATAAATTAATAAGGCTTTCTCCCAGGACGTTTCTTGTTATCATGCTTGCCACTTTGTCCTCGCCTTTTGTGGGTAACATGGCAGAATTTGCAAAATAAAAGAAGTGCTGTACAGAACCTCTCATAGAAAATGGGAGGACCCTTGATGCCAGAGCGGGGACCCTTGGCGCATGCTCAAGAAAAAGCTCGTGAAATAATCATGCCACATCAATGTTGGAATCTCATTACGGCCAGCACAAAGTTTGCGTTTTAGAAATACCGTTCCCCTATTCGTCACTGGGATTATAGCCAATGGGTGTTGCCAGAACACGCGTTATAGCAGAACCTCCTGTATTCCTGCTTGCACTAGCGCATGGCAGTGGTAGTAATCTCTTGTTGAGGTCCTGCTTTTTAGTCTCCTGCCTAACTTTCTATATTCACTCTGCAGAACCTCATCTCTTTCTCATCCCACTGCATTGATACCAATGTGTACAGCGATCTCCAGCTGCTTAGAATTAGAATTAGGTTTTATTGTCACACGTACTCAAGTTCAAAAGTACAGGAGTACAGTGAAAAGTGTACAATGTCACCACATGGCGCTATCTTAGGTACTAAGTATTTAGGTACACATATTAGGCACTAAAATAGATTAGGTACTAAAGTAGAGAAGTAAAGAAAACAGCTAAAAGTTCTACATTATAGTTCTTCATGTATAAATTAAAAAATTGAACATTACTGACCTTCTATAGTCTGTGGTCGCTCTCTGCGTGGGTCATTCCACTGTGCTGGGCTGATACCAACCGGGCTGGTAAGCCATCTGTGACAGGCTGACCGTACCAGGCCCCAGTCCGCCAGGCACCCCATTCTGGCCCCCCCCACCCGGCTCCGCAGTGGCCCGCTGACCGCTAGCTTTCCTCTCTGCTCTAGGTCCTCAGCAGCTGCAAGGCTTTGATTCTAGATAACAGAGAGACAACTCCTGAGCTGGTGGAGATCTGGTTATCTCTCCTTCCCTCTTTGGAACCAATCACACTGCCGGCCGGCAATGAGGCTTTTCTATCGCTAACTGGACATGAGTCCATAGATGAATTTCCTTGTTGCCAACCAAGGTTCCGTTTGGCTCCAGTGCATCTGCAAACACTAACCCATGAGAAAAGCCTGCAACTCAGGAGCAGCCATAAGATCCATGGTACTCTCTAGCATGTTATCTTTACAGGAGTACAGTGAAAAAGTGTACAGAGGCACCACTCTTAGGAGCCATCTTAGCATACAATAGTTAGAATTAAAAATGAGTAGGCATTAAAGAAATGGAAACAAGTGGAAGAGAAATGTGCAGATCACTCTTATGAGAAATGACACTTAAAAAAACTACACAGAATAATCATTAATTTGCCTTCTCTGTCCCGTTTTATGTTTCTGTGTCTGTGCTAACAACAATCCCAAAGTGTCTCGTTCCACGTTGGAGTACTTCCTAAGCGCCTGGCTGACCTTGTTTCCTGACTCCTCATCCTGTAACAACACAACAGCCATCAGAATCCCCCCCCTCCCCATTTGGCATTTCACAAGGTCTGAAAAAATTGCCAAGAGCTTTTCTCGTGCTGCTTGGCATTCTGCTCTCTACCACTTGTTCATTTGTTACTTCAACAAACTTATTACAAGTACAGCTACTGTACTTAAATTACACATGCATTTTAGGTAAAATTCACTTGTTTCTGCAAAAGAAAAACACATCCTATCTCATTTAGCTCTAGCAAAGTGTAAGCCTTGATGTAAGACCTTGTCTGTATTGTTGGTACCAATGTGTACCATGACTTCTGTCTTATAACTCTGTTGGCCCTTCAAGATGCCTTGCAGCATGACTTCCCACAAAAGTGACAGGGCACATGTTCCACTCCACTCACCTCAACCTGCCATGAGTTGAACTTGAAACTTTCTAATTACTTAATAGAAAATGGACTCTCCTTTGCTTTTAGTCTCCGTTTCTTATTCTCTGTCTGACTTACCCTGGTGCTTTTCAATTAATCTTCAGTTAATCTCCTGAAATAGTCACTTCTCCAGGGAGTGGGACGGCATCATAGAGCTACTGGTGAGTGTGGGGTGAGAGTACTTGGGACAGTGGATTTGGATTCCCTTAGTGGGGAGTCGGGATTGTGTGGGAGTCTGTGGGGGATGTATACTGAATGCTCAGTATATAAATCTACATCCAGGGAACCGGGGGACAGTCTCAGTAAGGAGGCATCTCACTCTTTGGGCTAAAGTTTAAATACTGATCGCCCTGAGCGTAGCCCCTCTACAGGGTCCAGCGCTGACTTCATTCTTCGATACATTACGTGCTCCTGCGGGTCTTTCTAAAAACGTGGACACACAATGCAACATTGAGGAAGCGTTTTTTTCTCATTAATTAGGGTGAAGTTCCCCTGAATGTTAACGGATTTCCAATCTCATGACCATGAACTAATTCAGATGGGCTAAATCCACTTCATTTATTTGGGGAATTTCTGGTAGCAAATAGTAAAGAAAATTCCAATCTGGTGGATATGACAGTGTGCCTTAATCAGGGCTTTGAGAGTCTGATGGTAAGTCTCTAAAGTTCCCTGTGTTTGTGGATGTTACAAGTTGACTTCAGTTGTTTTATTCCCAAGTTGCAAATGACTTCCTGGAAAACTTCAGCTGTGAAATTAGAACCATGACCCAATTGTTGGTCCATAATGAATATAAATACTGTTGAATTTTCCCCTGCTCCTTGTTGTAATCTTAAAGGGAGAGCCACGGGAATTGCCTTGTCATAATCCATAATTATATGGAGACACCAATGTCCTGCTGTTATTCTCAGTAATGGTTCTGCACAATCCACTAACACTCAAGTAAGTGGCTCTTCAAACGATGGGTATCAAAGATGCTACATGATATGTCTTGCAGAAATGTGCTACAACTTGTTGAAATCCTGGCCATGTAAAATACCTGTTTATCACTGCCAACATTTTTCGTATTTGGAGGTGTCCTGCCAATGGAACTCCTTCCCCGCCCCTTTACCTTTTTCCATAATTTTCCATGCAACTAAATCTATTCCTCCATCCCCGCTATTTAGTTTAATGTAGCCCTAACTATGGATGGAGTTACACAACTCAGCAGGACTTTATTCCCAACATGATTCAGGTGGAGCCCATACAATCAGAATAGCTCCTTCCTTCCCACTCATTTACCTTTCTAATTTTGTTGACCCAGTGCCAATTTGTTTGTGACTCAGCTAGTAATCAAAGAGGTTATTACCTTGTTGGCTCTGCTTTTAGTTGCTCTTAATTCCCTGAGCGGAACCACTTCCTTCTTCCTACTTATATCGTTGGTATTTAAGGTTCTTGTGAAGGTTTGTAGCTCGGGTTGTGGATGAGTTTGTTGGCCTGCTCGCGGAGCTGGCTGGTTATCGTTCAGACGTTTTGTCTCCATGCTGGGTGACACCACCAGTGCGGCCTCAGATGAAGCGATGTTGTTCTACTCCGTTTGGTATTTATATGATCTGGTCTGTTCAGTTGGGTTGTGTCATTTCCGATTCTGTTCTGTATGGGTTTGTAAATGGACTCTAATTCCACATGTTTGTTGATTGCATTACTGGTTGAAAACCAGGCCTGTAGGAATTCCAGTGCATGTCTGTGGTTGTCTTGTGCTAGGATGGTCACATTGTCCCAGTTAAATTGATAACCTTCATTGTCCGAGTGAAGGAGAGTTTGTCATGTCGTTTTACAGCTGGCTGGTGTTCGTGTGTCCTGATGGCTGGTTTCCTTCTGGTCTGGCTGATGTAATGTTTGTTGCAGTCATTGTAAGGTATTTTTATGTCATGGGTATGGGGTCTTTGGTCCTTGTGAGTGTTTGTCGTAGTATGGCTGTGGGTTTGTAGGCTACTATGGTTCCTAGTTGTCGTAGGAGTCTCATTGTGAGTTCTGATGTGTTCTAGGGAAGTGTGGTCAGTGTATTGGGGCGTACTGTGTCTTCTTGGCATTGTCTATCTAGTAGACACCTGCAGATGAAGTTGTTGGGATATCTGTTGTTAGCAAAGACCTTATATAACTGCTCTTTCACCTTCCTGTGTAGTTCTGGCGTGTTGGCAGTGATTTGTGGCTTTGTTGCTTATTAAGAGGCCGCACGTTAGTTAGCATGGTGACGAAACGTCTGTACGATAACCAACCAGCTCCGCGAGCAAGCCAACAACCTCATCATTCGTATCTATGTGGACCAAAACAACTGAATCTTTCCCCTCTCACTGCAAGTCCCTCTGCAGCCTAGTTATCCTCAACACAGCCTTCAGGACTCTCAACCCTGGCTATGAGAGCAGTGTCTATTCCCCTGACTGTACTACCCCCTATTATAACTACATTTCTCTTATTCTTCTCCCCTTTTCAATAGTTCCCTGTACCATGGTGCTATGGTCAGTTTGCTCATCCTCCCCACAACCCCCACTCTCATCCACGCAGCAATCTCAAAGTCATTGGACAAGTCGGCTCCTTCAGCGCTAACCCCTGGATCCTTCCCCCGTCTCATTTGTTATCACAGCCTCCTGTCCCTGACCAACTGCCTCTTAAAACACAGCGTCCAAGTGACTCAGCCCCTCTGTGTCCCTGTGTTCGAAGTTCAGGCTCCAGCTCATCAAATCTTGAGTCACAGTTCCTCAAGCAACCAACATTGGATCCCCATGTATTCAGAGATCATGCAGGTACAGTAACACATCACTTGACTCTGCATCTCTAATTATATTCACTTAGTTCTTAAGTTGATTTTTTTTATTACTTCCTAATAGTCCTTTAGTTGGTAACCTGTAATTATTTCCCCAATATTCTTTCACCCTGAAACTAACCTATAATAGTCAAATGAGTAGCTATTATCAACCAATGAACTTAGTTTTTCTATGAAGTCTCTGTTGTTTTTGCAGGGCCCCCGATTCTGGGTTTCACTTTATCCTGTCAAAAGACTTTACAAGCCATGAACCAAAAAACATGCCACAAGCATCTCCTCCTTTCTGCACCGAATTCTCTCACTGTCTCCAAACGGCCGGACAAGACAGTTCCACTGGAATGGACTGGGAACAGACAAAAGAATAGAATGGAATAGTCACATGCACTTGAATGAGTGCCGTGAAAAGTTTGTGATGTCATCTCTCGGTGCCGTTTCAGGTACAGGGTACCTGGGTGCAGATACTTCGTGTTGTCACAGAATTGAAATAGTAAAGAAAAATAGACCAGCATGGGAATACGTAGTTTAAATAGTCCAGAATGATAATATAAAGTGTCTTCAAAGTGCTCAAGTTATAGTCCCTTTCCACTGAGTCCATGCCCATCAGAACATGAGGCCTTGCTGCGTCCACCCATTGGTCTCCATACAGGATCCTCCCGGCCAGTCTGTGCTCACTTTGCTCCCGCTGTGCTCCTGCCCCAGCCATGACTCGCTCCCAGCTCAGCCCGTGCTCGCTCTGCTCCTGCTCCAGCCATAACTCACTTCCAGGATTCAGCCTGTCCTCGCTCTGCAATGGCAACTCACTTCCGGGACTCGGCCCATGCTCACTCAGCTCCTGCCCTGGCCGTGATTCCCTTCTGGGACTAGGCCCGTGTTCGCTGTGCTCCCACTCTGACTGTGACACGGTTTGGGGACTCGGCCCGTGCTCGCTGTGCTCCTGCTCTGGCTGCGATTTGTCTCCCATGCCAGTCTGATGTTGAACTCCGTTCTCCATGCCCTCCAGGTAGGGTACTTCAGGGAGTTACAAGTTGGGGGTGGGGTGTGCACAGGGAAGAAAAACTGCAGTAAGAGGGGATAAAGTAGAAAGAAAGAGGGGAAGATGCTGGCAAGCAGAGGAACTCTAGCAGGAACGTCTTACTCTGCTACCATCCTAACCAGAGGACAGGAAATACAGGACGGTGTAGCCCCAACAATCTTGTCGAAATAATATTTGTCACGTATTTATTTACTCAGTCTAGAAATGTTTGAGGAAATGGCTTGAAAATCAACCATGTAGAAAAGCACACTTGATTTTCTGAATTATGTTTAAAGATGAAATAGTTCCTCTTATTTTGAAATGAGAAACTTAATGGTAGTATTTTCTGGACATTATTCCAACAGTTTGTGCCCCTCTGGAAGTGTGAGTGTCTGGGATCCCAGTATTTCCTTATATTTGCTACTGAGTTTTCATACTGTTTCTGTGTTGTGTCTTGTTGAGCAATGATCGGATAATATAGTCATACATACTAATTTTGAATGTGGATTGTACAACTGCAGTTGGGTAGAGATAGGAATGAGAAAATTTTTTGCGAAGTATTATCTGTAGGAATAATTGCTTGGATGCTTGTTTTCTGTAAAAAAGAATAAAAAGCATTTTGTCATGAAATGAGATGTATGTTATTTTCTTTATGTTTAACTTGGGAGATGTACACATTAATAAATCTTCAAACAGAAACCTGAGTCTCGTCAGGTCTAAAAATAAATGGTAGAACTGACCTTCTTGCACCAACTCTTGAGACATGCATTCATCTGTCCTATTTTCCCATTTCTAAACACGCTGCACATGGCACTGGGAGTAATCCAGAGATTACAACCATTTTTCAACCTACTCCTAGCTCTTCCAATTGTCATGTCTAACTTAGCCCATACTGTTGGTATCAACATGTACGACGAACGCTATCGCCTTCCCCCTCCAGGATGCCCTGCAGTTGTTCAGTGACATCTCTGACCCAGGCATCAGGGAGGCAATGCATCATCCTGGAGTCATGTCTTTAGCTACAGAATCGCCTGCCTGTTCCCCTGACTAAAGAATCGCCTATTGCTATTGCTTTTCCTTTCTTCCTCATCCCCCTTCCACTGTATAGTCAAGCCACTTGTGGTATCAGAAGCTTGGCGCTGACTGCATTCCTCCAAGGTACTAGCGCCTTTATCAGCTTCCAAAATGGAATATTGGTTAGTGAGTGGGACCCCAGGGGACTCCTGCACTATTTGAGCGTTCTTTCTGGACTGTCTGGTCCCCTTTAGTCCTTGAGCTGTGGTGTCACCACCTTTCTAAATATGCTATCCATGTGGTTGTCAGCCTCATAGATGTGCCATCAGTTTTCAACGCTGCTCAAGCTCCAAGACCCAGGGTTCTCTCCTGACAAGTCATAAGTCTACAATTGATGTCTTAGACTAGAACAAATCCAGATAATAAATAATATTTTCGTCAATAGATAGTTAGTTTCTTTTAGCTTCATCTATTTAAACACAGTCCTAATTTCAATGACTCAAGTCAGCTTACTGTTTTCCAATGACGTCATTCTTCAATTATTTTTTTCTTCAAATAGTGCACTATTTGAAGAGAAGCTGTTCCTTTCAGGGCTGGGACTGACCGTTTCCCCATGATGAGTGTAGGACTTGTCCCCATGCTATCCTTTATTCTCTCATGATGGTGAGTGTTCCTGGTGGCTCCAAAGCTGACTTTGCCAAAGGTGTGTTGGGAAAGGCGATGGGAGGGGGAGGATGTTGCAGATGTGCCTCCATCCCAGCAACTCTCCTCCTGTCCCTCCATCTGCTGGATGTCTTTGATCTGTTCATCCGTATGCCCTTGCTTGTGGAGGGTTGGGATGTGGAGCTGTGGTTTAAACCCTTTGAGGCCTACGGCACTAGTCACGCTTCACAACTTATCCAGCACTTTTTCACTGAGCTTCATCACGTGACCTCCTTGCACTTAGACACACTAGCGCTACTTCCTTTTAGGGAGCTGTCAAAGGGCACGAGAGTGACACTGAGTGGAAGTGGCCGAGGATAGGCAGGTTTTGCCTGTGGATTTTGAATTAATGCAAATGAGTGATTTCAGAGATACGGAGGGATGACTGTCTTTCGGAAATCTGAGCCTAAAGTGGAAATGCTCCTGGGTGAAGCTGTGATACAGGGAGAAGACTGTGATATGGAGGGTGTGCAGTGAATTTGAGGAAGGGGGAAGTATGCAGTTAATGAGTGAACCAGCAGCTGAAAGGATACTGGAGGCTTCTTCCCATGTGCTGCTAAAGTTCCTCCTCATGCAGAATCCGCCTTTTTCCATGGCGGAGTTGACAAACTCAGCAACAGTTGGAAATATCTGCGGCACGAGAAATCCCATCCAGTCCTTGGATGGGAGCTCCCAGGCACCTGGTGAATGCGCGAGGTTTCGCTGGGTCTGTTGATGGTTTGTGAGTAATCAGGAGTGCACAATGATGTGGTGGTTTTCTGTCCAGCAGGGCTGAGAGGTTGCTTGGGGACAATTCTCCCATTGCTTCAGGAGCGATGTAATTGGCCAACGAGACCAGGCCTTGCTTTTTTTGGTTAACTATTATTACAATTACAGGAGATGCTGATGGAGGCCTCTGTCCCCGGGAATCTGGAGACAGTAAGTGTTGGCACACATTCCCCATGTTTGGGAATTCCCTACCACATCCAGACTTGCTGGAGCCCAGCAATTGCCACCTATGGCTACTGGCTTATACAGGAAGGAGGAGTGAATACGTTACTCACAAGTCACTTTATTAATATTGCTAGACAATACAGGTGGCATGAACCAACAGCTACAACCTATTTGTACACCCAGTAGGGTCTTCTGACATTCCCTGAGTAGTCACAATATAAAAGCTACTACCTGAGCAGGATAGCTGCTGATGAGGACTGATGCTAGCTAGGCATTCTGATTCCCTCCCTTCCCCACCGTCTCTCTCTGTGTCCTCAGCGTGTTCTTGACGTAGGGTTCACTTCTGCAAAGGTTAGTCTCTGGAGTTTTCACTTGCTCCATCCCCGTCTTATTCCTTTACTTATCTCTTTACAGCTGTGCTGTCTCCTCCCTGCTGGCTCAGGCTTGTTCGCTTATCGCGTGCCTTTATCTTATTGGCTCAGGCCCAAGGGCCTGGGTAGATTTACCCCATCACTACTTGTCCAAATAAGGCTTTTGCATTACTTCTTCATCTTGCTTTCTGTGTAACTTAGTACAAACTGGTTTCAGTCGGCTCAGACCAGTGCCCAGATTCAAACTAACTTGTTTTTAGTTTCACCAGCTGCTGCTGCTAACGTTGCAACAATTTCAGGGTTTTTCTGCAGCTTCTATTCCCCCCATGACCAGTCTCTCTACCTGCAGCCCCTGGCTAACAGACTAAAGAAGTAGTGGCCACATGCTCTAAGATATGAATTATGCTGCGTACTTCTTAATCATGTGGCTCTAATCTAGGTGAATGTAGTGATTGGAGCGAGGTCAGCCATGCAGACCTCATAGAATATGAGTTCCCTGATTGGGGATGTTAATGTGGTCCAATCAGGGAGCCCTGGCTCACACATACAAACAGGAGTGTCAGGGGTTCTGTTGACTCTGAGAGCTGGCTCTGAGGGAGCTGGATCAGTGTCAAGGACTCCCCACATGTAGTGGAGGGTGACTTGGTGAAGGGATACCAGCCGCTATGCAGTTATTCCAATGCTGACGAGAGAAAACCACATGAAGAGATTCATTCGCAACAGCTGTCTTTAAATTGGCGTAGGTATTTCTGGCATCATGCCATTATTTGGGAAACCTGGCTCATTCGACCGTGGTGTTAGAGACTGTTCCCAGTACATGGAAAGAATGCACTATATTTTCCATGCAGACAAAAAGCAATGAGTAACTCTCCTGATAACATGTGGACCCGCAGCTTTTTCAGTTATTGGGAGCCTAACATTTCTTGAGGCACCAGGTACTAAAACCTTTCAAGAATTGACGGATTTAGCTAAGGAATCTTACGACGATAAACCATCTCTAATTTTGAGATTCTATCAGTTTTACTCAACTGTTCGAGGGGAATCCGTATCTGGACTTTTGATGAGGTTGAGAAGACTGGTAGAGATGTGATGTTGGTTTAACCCAAAACGAGATGCTAAGAGACAAATTGGTATGTGCGATTAATGGTGTGACCATGCAAAAGCACCTAACAGCTGAAGCTCAGCTGGACTTGAAACAAGCACTGTGATTGGCTTTGCTGTTGGAAAATGTGGCACGTAGAGCATACAAGTTACAGGGTATGCTGTTGGAAGTGGACACCCTCACCATGCTGACTGAGCTTGGGGAAACACCACTTGAATGTGCAGGGGCATTCGCAGGGTGGAGCAGCAGCACAGAGTGAGTATAAGACTAACTGAGCTTGGGGATTGCAGCCTAGTCTGCAGGGAGTAGTTGGAGAGTGGAGCAGCAGCACAGAGTGAGTATAAAACTAACCGAGCTCGGGGCACATTGTAGCTGTGAAAAGAACTGGAGTGATGTTACAGGGAAGTGGGAGCTTGATTGGTTTGCAGGAAATCTGCACTAAATTTGAAAAGGAACACAGCAGAGATGATTAATAAATGAATTAACTCATTAATAAAGTTATGCAAATTTATTAAAATAGTCAACTAAGTAGAGGTGGCCGGGCAGGTGATGTGCTGTAGCCATATGATGTGGGAGCTGTAAGATCCCATTGCGAGCTGCACTGACCACATCTGCATTAACTGTTGGCTCCTGGAGGAACTTCAGCTCAGAGTTGATGAGCTGGAATCTGAACCTCAAACACTGTGGTACATCCGGGAGGGGGAGAAATACCTGGACACTTTGTTTCAAGAAGCTGTCATACTTTGCAGGTTAAGTACCTTAAACTCAGTCAGTGATCAGGGACAGCAGGGTGTGACTGTGAGCGAGGCAGGTAGAGGGATCCTGCAGTCAGAAACAGAGGAGCCTCAGCTCTTGACCTTGTCCCACAGGTACAAGGTACTTGCTCTCTCTGAGGATGAGGAATAGGGCTGTAGGGAGGATGAGCCAACTGACCACTGCACCATGGTACAGGATGTCATTCAAGAGGGGGGAGCAAAAAGACAGGTGGTAGTTGTAGGGGATTACAACATGCTTTGTAAGAAGGATTGAGAGTCCCACATGGTGTGTTGCCTGCCCAGTGCCAGGGTGAGGGACATCTCTGACTGGTTTGAAAGGGTATTGGCGTGGGAGGGCGAGGATCCAGTTGTTGTCCACATTGTCATAGGTAGGGCTAGGAAGGACGACCTATGTGCGAATTACAAAGCACAAGGAATAAAATTAAGCATCAGGTCCTCAAGGGTTATAATCTCCAGAGTAGTACCTGAGCCATGTGCAAAATGGAATAGGGATAAGAAAATTAGGGAAGTAAACACGTGGCGAGAAGTGGTGTAGGAAAGAGGGGTTCCATTCATGGGGCAATGGCATCAGTATTGGAAAAGGAGGGATCTGTACCATTGGGACAGTCTCCACCTGAAACAATCTGGAACCAGTGTTCTAGTGAAAAGGATAAATAGGCTGGTCACTAGGACTTCAAACTAGTGAATAAGAAGTACAATGGTAAATAGAAAAGAAAGCAGCAGATTAACATG